TTACCCCCAAAGTATCACTTCGCTTCCTGCTATTTACGTAGACACACTCTCCAGCCCCTCTCTCTCTCCCTCTCCCTCTGACACTCGGCTTGTCAACCCAACATTCTCGCCACGAGATCTGCAGCTACCCCTAACTAAATTACTCTGATCTTCGTAAGACCCATTAGGAAGGGGCCCATAATAAGACTTGGAGAGCTCTCCACTTAATTATTCGAGAAAACAACTTGGCGGCCCTTTCCTACGATATTTCCTTCAGAGAGAGAGAGAGAGAGAGACGAAGTTTATTTGGATTCTGCAAAAAAGTTTCCATGGGGATACTGAAATATAGGTATATGTATATGTATATATGTAGCCGATAAAATTGAGCTCCAACCTTCACGCAGTCGGTCGGCTCTGATCGTTGAGCATTCTGTATTTGCTTAATACATAGAGACGAAGAAAGTAGAATTAAGCAGTTGGGCACAATGGAGACTGGAGTCGTTCTTGATACGGAGCTACGGATATTGGGTTAACAATATTCGTCTAAAAGGTGTTCGCGTAGCCGCGCTTTAAAGACGTTGTGTCAGTTGATCGGTTGAGCACGGAGGTAGGGAGCTTCCTTGAAAACGTTACCACGTGACACTGCGATCGAATAAGAAGGAGAGATGTGCATTTTTACACGGCGACCAGTTTTTCTCGTCGAATTGTCGGATACGCTGTTTACTCGGACACGCGGCCTTGGCGGATGCTGTTGCACCCGCGGGATGCATCTCGTGGCTGCGCATAGTTGCAGCAACTACAGGCACCTGCCTACAGCTGAGAGACGTCTTAGGCGAAAGGCTTTCTTCTCGCAGACTTCGTTTAAGGGTAGAGGAGGGGACGAATTCCAGAGCAGGCAAGGCTGCGGTTGCAATGATTCGATAATTCGAGTGGCAAAGAGAGAGAGAGAGAGAGAGAGAGAGAGAGAGGCTGGGTCAGGGAGGATGGTGAAAGGATCGCGGGGCCGGCACAGCCTCCCCGCCCCCTCCCCCCCCCTCGCCGCACATGGCAACGTTTCTTCCTATCGAGGGCACCGCTCGATTTTTGTTTGCACAAGTGTGTTCTGATGACGTCTTCCGATGAATTCTCAACGGAAAAAAGTCGAGAGAGAAAAAGGCTCGTCGGCATCGACGATCGCTCCCAAGAGAAGTTAGCAGTGGTTCGTCTTGGACCCGCTACAAGCTAATTCCCGCATCCCCGTTCTTGAGATTGAGCCTCTCGCTTTTGCCCTGAAAAATAAGGACTTTTCCTATTAAAAAGGATTAATTGGTAGCCAGTGGCCATTCGTAAGCTGCACCAGCTGGCAAGCATTTTCCCCAATCTGATGTTAATCGGCTCATTTTTGCGATGCCATTTAAACGTTTCAATATTTAAAGATTACATGTAGTCGGACTGCAAGACCGATCGTGAGATTCTTCTCTTCCCTTCTTTCCCGGACATATATTTAATCATTTGCTTTCCTGGCAACTCTCTGCCAATTGCTGCCTCCCACCTCGCCGGACGCTCGCTCTGTCTCCCAACCAACTCGCACCGAGAGAATGGGAGACGTCGGTGGCTGCGGCTACAGTCCCGCACTCGTAGTCGGAATACTTGAGCGAGAACATTCGGGCTGCACGAGCACTGCTGAAGCCTCCTGAAGCCTCCTGAAGCCTCATGAAGCCTCATGAAGCCTGCTGCCAGTCCGAGGAGCGGAAGTTGTCAGTGGCAACAGTAGCCCTGCTGCTGCACCGAGCATCGCGTCGTCGCTGGCACCGCGAGGCGGCCACGTGTGTATCGCCGCACCGCGCAGCGCCGAGGATTCGTTCGAGACTGATGCAGCATCACGTGGCGCGAGTATAGGAGTTGCCGAGTGCAACAGTCGCCGGTAGAGAGTGGGGAGTTTACGTGTACTCTTCTCGGAGCCCAGCAAAACTTAACAAAACAATTTATTCTAAAGTAAACAGGGGCATCCGGTTTACTTGTGAATAAACAACATATTTATTTTTAGAGAGCCCGGCCATATCGCTCGCTGCGTTCTCGCGCGATGTGCCCTATGTGGCCTCCACACTCTGCGCATTCATTGACTAACCCGCGTGGGAAAAAATCTTTTCCTCGACTTGCCGATGCCGACTTGCGTCATTCGCTATAGCCTGTAGGCTCCCATTAACCAATTATCATAATTCTGGGCTCAGATTGCAGCGATCGGCCTGCGGCGTTCAGAGTGACGAGAAGAGCCAGTTTGAATTTTCGGCACGGACTGTCCGTCATCGTCCTATCCTATATCCGAGCTAAAGTTCCTTAAGATTTTCTCGATTGTTCTTCCTCGCGTTGCGCATCGGCGACGGCGCGTCGAACTATCCAGTCGAAATAACGGCTCTCTCGCTCTCTCGCTCTCTCGGTGATGGAGGGATCGGGAGAAAAGAAGAAAAATTATTTACGTCCCTGACGTCATTGATGGCTGAGCCGCGCTGTGCGTACGTGTCTCTGTGTGCCTTATGTTTATTGTTTATCAGGACGTTTATGCTCGCTTTCCTTTATGTAGCATCTGTAAACGTCCCTCTGCAAACAGCTCGTATTATCACAGTTCTACTTGCAGCTGCGTGAGCGATTCCGACAGAGAGCGAGAGAGAGAGAGAGAGAGAGAGAGAGAGAGAGAGAGAGAGAGAGAGAGAGAGAGAGAGAGAGAGAATAAGAGTGGAATTATATTCGATGCGCTTGGTTACTAGTAATAACTAATAACTTATTACCTTATTGCGAAGCATATGAATAACTGGCTCACTGGATTTGAAGAAAGTTACAGGGGAAGGTAGGAGACCCGTGAGGAAGTGCGAGGTACTAACCGCGACCTAATTCTAAGATAAGATAAGCCGTTAAGTGCAGGGTGAGCCAGCACCCTCGCGATACTACTCTGTGTTTTATTGCCCATCCTCTCCTTCTTCTGCTGCTTCCTTTGCCTCCCAGTATCTCTTTCTCCTGTTCCTCCTTGCCCTCCTCCTCCTCCCTCCGTCACTGGCTTCTGCCTCGAAGCAGGGCTTGGCAAGATTTATTGTAAAATTCGATAGATATTGCCAATTACAACACCCCCGTGGCGCCTACGGGTTCTCTCTATGTCGGGTGACGAGGGGCGACGAGGGGCGACGGAGGTGGTAAGAACCCGGAGGCACCTCCACCCTTTGCCAGACGCCTCTTCCTATCTCGTAGTCTCTCGGTAGCCAACAAGCTCTGTCTTTGCTTGGAGAATTTTAAATACGCTTTATGTATATGAGGGTGTATAGCTGTATAGCTGTATAGCTGTATACATATCTCAGTGGTCTCATTGTCAGTGGTGGAAGCACGAAGCATCGCGCGCACAGATACAGTCTTTTGGATGCCACCTCAAATATATGAAATTAACATTTATCCAAATCCCTTGTTCTATTTATCAGGAGGTGGATAAATTTCTCATTCTCCTGCAAGAAGAATGCAAGAATGCACAATAACACTACACTGTACAAAAAATTTGCTTGAAATTCAATATACCTGTATATAAAGCTCGGATACATATACTGTATATTAATTTTTATATGCATTTTTGTTTCAAGTATAAAGTCGAGGTACATTGGTAATCGGTAGACGCCTTTGAAAATAATAACATAAGTATATTAATATATAATAATAACAATAAGTATATTAATATGAATTTCATATACCTATTTCGTAAATTCCATGGAATTTTGTATAGTAAATTTACCAACATTTTTAACAGTGTATAGAAACGCTCAAGGGTAATTTCGTGGTGCGTAAGCTGCAACAGGTCCCAGCTGCGTTTAAGATATGCGACACGCACTGACCACGATCGGCCTATGCTTAACACTTGCCCTTACAGATCGAGTCGCAGACGTACAACTTTCAAGTCCATCGACGAGTTGCTTAAAATTTAGACGACCATCATAAAATACCGACTTTTCTCGAACGATTTCAATAAAAAAAATGAGCTGCTGCTTCGTCCTCTCGTTTGCCATGCTTCCGGCCCTTACTTCAATTAGCAACTTGCTCCTCTATTTATGGGCCTATTAGCCTGCTGGTGTTGGCCAGGTGTTCCTGGACAGTTCCTTGGACTTTTCATTTATATGGAGGAATTCCTCTCCACAGTGGCCAAGTCTCCCGCAGGATAAACGGCAGCGCCCACGATTGCACCCTTCGCAGGGCCTTTGATTGTGCTTACGGTACTTACGGGTTCGGCAGTCTCTAGTAGAAGAAACGAAAGAATCGCTCGAATGTCCGGATGACGTGGTTTCGTTCGAACCCAAAGAGCCGCTCTTGCGCATTCCTTTTGCCCTCTTTCCACATCAGCAGCATACATCTTTCCCTTCCTTCCCTCCCCTCTTCCTTCCTCCGCCCATTCTTCTCCTCCTTTTCTTTGGATTTTCCTCCTCCCATCTTGGGCCGGTCTATTCTTTCTGCTCGGAGGAAAAAAAATAATAACGCTAGGGATGTGACCGCGAGCGAGGGGGTGAACTACCCGAAGACGAAGCGTTCTCATTATACGAGGAGATTTATGCGCGTGCCACCTTGGTGGCGTCGCGACGCTGTAGAAGCTGTAGATGGAGAAGGTAAAGGCAACGAAGGCAACGAAGGCAACGAAGGCTCTAGGTTAGAAGTAAAGTTAAAAGAAAAATAAGGCTTATGGGGTGTAAAGTCCTCGAGAGTGACTGGTGGGATGGGTTCTCTCGGTCCTTTGGTTCGCCGGGTCGCCGGAGCCCTCCTACCCTCCTACCCTCCTACCCTCCTACCGTCCTACCGTCCTATCGTCCGCGGAATATATTATCCAAAATTCTCGGCGATGGTTCAGTGAAAATTTATCCCCCGCTACAACAAGGAGACGAATAACGAATAAGCTGGATATCGAATTCGCATTTGTTTTTTTCTTCCCTCTTCTTCCTTTCCGCTTTCGTGAGAAGGACGCCCCTATAGCCCCTATAGCCACGATGACACTAATAGGTCTGAATTGAATTTGTTTTCAGGGGCACATCGGTGAGAACCCCTTCGACAACGGATCCTGGGGAAAGGAGCACTTTCAACCAGCGACAGTTCCTTGGCAGCTCAATCCACGCGGCCACAGTCGTCTCAGTGTGAGTATCTACATATCTATACGTATCTATCTATCTATACAGAGACGGCTTGACTTGTGCCATTGGCTTATTATGGCTGCCAAAGAAATTGGACAACTCTTTCGAGTCTTTAAAGTTTTGCTTCGATCTCGGCTGGAAGGGAACATTTTCAGGAATTTCTTTCCATTCTCAATGTGTGAGCCAGAGGGAAGGAAATGTCCTCGTGTTGCCTTAGATCGCTGGCGGGGCTCCTTGGTCTGCTGCGAAATAAGGTGCAAAAGGTAGGTCCAAAGCATAGGGTCGCCGGGAGCTAAGGGTCCCTACTAAAGTTTCGTTAGTTGACAAGAGACACTAATTAAATCGACAAGGTGCCGATGGTAATGCGAAAGAGACGTCAGGCTCTCTCTCTCTCTCTCTCTCTCTCTCTCTCTCTCTCTCTCTCTCTCTCTCTCTCTTTCTCTGTGTGCGTTTCTGTGAGTGAGCAGTGCAGCTGACCGACTGGATGGATGGTTGGTTGGATTGGGAGTGAAATTTGTAATTCCGGTTGGTAGGAATAAGGGTTTATCCCGGGGGCGGAAAAAGAAATCCGGTCGGCCCATTGTGCGCGATGCGAACGCAAAAATTGCTCGGATTTTGCTTCCTTGAACGCGATCCTCTCGATCCTCTCGATCCTCGTTCGCTCTCGACTTGCTAGAGACTCCTCGCGTTTTCCTACTACCTCGTTCGAAATGGAGTTGCTCATGTTGGCCACGTTGGCCACGTTGGCCATGTCCGCCATGTCCGCCATTAGTACATCCTCGGGCACCAGCGAGCGACGGCTCGCCCTCCTCTCACTCTACAGCTTACTTTTCACTCGACTCATCCTGCCACCCGGTATTTATAATACGCTTTGTTTTCCCTCGGTTATTTGTCTTGGCTTCCGTCTTCCCCTCTTCCCCTCTTCCCCTCTTCGCTGCCGTTATTATTCGCCGTTTTATTTTTCTTTAATTCCTCCTCACCGGCGCCATTCCAACGTTCCTCTTTGGAAGTAGTCACCAAATTTTCCTCGACTCTTCTTCCGGAATTTACCTCCCTCACTTCCTGCCCGTACTTTGCGTAATTCTCCGCCCCACTACTTCTACGGTTCCTATATTCTTACAATTCTCATAACAAGACCTAGTAGCTACGCCACCAGAGATCCCATGTTTTCTCTTTTCGTCCGTGGAACAAAATGTTTGGTCCTTCCGCTTCCAAGCGCACGCGCACGCGCACTCCCTTACTCATTGGCACCGTCCGATAGTTGGACGCGTGTTTCAGTTATTGAACATTCGCCTCCGGTGATATTCTTCTTCGTGGGTATAATGTGCATTAATGTGCATTAAAGTGCATTAGAGAGTGAAAGGGGGGAGACACACAGACGGTGACTCATTTGGACTCTCGAATAGAATCACATGTCGTATCTTCGCAAGAGAGCAGAACTCGCGAACGCGATGCGCAGTGCGATTTAAAAAGCCGAGTCCACAATCCGATACGGCAGGCGCGACATGCGGCGTGCTGTGGCTCGTCCGGTTAATCGCGCTTTCGCACGTGCTTGCCAAACGAACAAACTACTCCGGAGAAATAATTCTGCGAATCGTAACGGCTTACGCGAACGTAACCCCACGCCGGCCGACAGTCAATAAACTATTACGTGTACAATGTACATACGTGCTGCATCGATGATTGCACAAGCTGCGCGATACTTGGGGGCATGTACCACATACACGTGTGCTACATGTCTCGCATTAAATTCTCAGGCGAAAACTAAAAACAGTTTCGTTCGCGGTGTGCTTACCATTCCAAGTTGTCCAAGCAAAATGAAATCTCTGTAAAACTCGGAATTCCCGGAGGATACTCAGGACTCCCTGGTTATTTCCCGGAGGTCCTGGCCTCTTAAGATATGCGCGGCACAACGCGCGCTTGCCTAGACTATTTTAATGCGAGGGGTTGGTACTAGGCGAGACGAGGAGAGAAGCAAGTGGGCGGAGGTGGTGGGTGCTCGATAGAGAGAGAGAGAGAGAGGGGAACGAGGGAGGAGAAACAGGCAAGATCTACTTCTTGATTACAGAACTTTTTACCTAATTACATAACATTGTTACCATTTACAAAGTCGCGACGGCGTAGCACGCTCGAGCGCTGACTACCAATTAGACGTGTCCGATTAGCACCGAGCCAGCAACCCCAACTTCAGGATCAGAGACAGGATTGCTGTATCCTCAATATACAGGGATTGCAATAGTCTGTAATGTGGCCGCACAGGAGGATGATCCGCGAATATCAAGACTCATTCCTGTGACAGCTTCAGCTTCGTCCGAAGAATTTCCTCCTGCCCAACGTCTCTCGTCGTGTTGATCCTGTTTCACCACCCCCCCCTCCACCCATTGCTCCCTCATTTTAAAATCTGATCCTACAGTTTTTTTTTCTTTGTTTATTATTGCATCACCTCATCCCCACTCTTCTCCCACACACTGCCACTTGGTACCAATGCATTTTTATATTTACTATCTATTCGTCGGCTAGTCGGGAGGACTTGCCTACCTGATAAGATTAATAGCCAAAGTGCCGAGCACAAAAGGAAAGGAGCGTCGTAGGTTGGTGAAATAGAATAACCAGGCGAAGATTCCTGATCGCCTTCCTGCGGAAATTCAATTTCTCCCTGATAACGATGGACGATTCCTTTTCGGCAATGTTTAATTGCACCCTCGGCCGCCACCAGCCCATTTTCGGCATGGCTACATTAATTGGCCAGGATTGGCGACCGGCGTCGATTCCTCCTGGAAGGCTAGAGAACTGGGTGGCTGGGCGAGGCGGCGGCTCTCGCATTGAATGCTAAACAAAAGCTAATTTATATCGAGAGGTCGACTCTGCCGGAGATCGGGAGATGAATGAGTGCGCTTCTTGCATACCAAATGGCCAAGTTGAAGCGAGAAATGGTCTCAAAGCGACGAAGAGTCTGAGAGGGGTCGAAGGGTGGGAGAGCCGGAGAGGGGGAG